AAACTAATTGTTAAGTTAAGTCAATATTATAAACTGAGTACTAATCTAAGTCTGGATAAAAAAATAAGAACAAGGGAACAAAGGCACATTTATTTGCCATTTCAGTTTTAATATAAAAATTGTTTACGATTTAACAGTACCACGTGAAACATTCTTGTATCAGGATTGTTCGTGATCGAATAGTATTCTCAAAGCAGATTTTTTCTATTGAAACAAGTTTCAGGGGAAATGTGGATCTCATATTATACGGGTGTCAATATGTACCTGTGTCGCCTGAGGGATGAATGTTCGTACAATTGTAAGCAAGATTCAGAACGAACTTGACGTATTATGTTTAATGTGTACTTTTTATCTTTTATTTACGATTCTTCACTATTGTTTAAGACTGGTGAATATTACTTGATTGTTATTGGTGAGATGATCGACATATACACACACACACGTTTGATTTCAGAAAGTTCTTACCTTACATTACAAATAATGACCTCCAAGCGGTACTAAATCTATGCACAAAATATATTAATAATGGCGCTACAATACTATATTTGTTTTGGCCTCAAATTAGATCCATTTCGTTGATCATCTTTATTTCATCGACAAGTAGGTCTATCTGACACATGTCGTCAATTTTTTCACAGTACGATCGAGTTTAAGATACATAAACAAAAAGTCCAATGGTGCACGGCTGGGGATCGAACCTCAAGCATACGAATCGCACGATGAAGCCACTGGGCTAACACTGCATTTACAAAATTTATTACGTTTTATTATAATTTAAATTAAATATACAATTTTTCACGTTGTTCGAGTAATACATCTCATTTGTGGTATGATGATTATCCCGAAGGAAGTTATTTTAAGCTTCAATCAAAGGCCTATCCAGTTTTCGAACTTCATTATTAAATTCTTATTTAATTCAACGCTTATTTCCACGGGGTATACTTGTAAACAATACCTTCCTTTTTGGCTCTGTTCCAAGCGACTTATTAAATATATTTTAGGAACTTTGCTGTCGCTTTATATTTCTCAATAACAAATTAAAAATGGGACCGAAACTTTAAGGTCTTGTTCATTAAAATAATCAGAATCAGAATCGTTCCTTAATTTGATAATTGTGTTAAGTTGCCGACTTTAGAATAAAAGTAATAATTCATCTTATGTTTTTACTCGTATAAAGAACATAACAATAATCATATTGGAGGCATATTCTCAGATCTGTCCTCAGATTTTTGCATCTCCTTCGTTTTGTTATATTAAGACAAGGACGGGCCTAACCTGAGCCTCCTGCCCGTTGGCCTCTGTTGTATAAAAAAAGGCCATGCCGGTTTTCTTACGACGCTTTCCTTTACCGTACGAGCGAGTATTAGTTATACACATAAAAAGAAAAGTCTATCAGCCATGATTCAAACGCACGATCTTAGGGTTGAGGCAGACGTTTTAGGCCAACAGTTTCAAAGAAGATATACTTCATCGAGTCAAAACGTGATGGAAAATGTACTTATTTAAAATATTAACAATACTAGCCACGCAATCAAATTTATATGAAATAAACTAAACTACAAGTACAGAAAAGTTATTTATGATTACGTATATATGAGAAAACTTTAAAACCATTTCTTCTATAAAACTACTTAAGACTTTATTTACTTTTTTTCTATTTTAGTTTAAAATTTATTCTGCCTCACTTTGTTATTTACTGAGTTCCTATTAGTATTCACAAAGCAACGCTATCCCAACTGAATTGTTATTGGACTTCAGAGGTTTCGTTGAAAGATCAATTATTTTAAATGCGTTGCCTACCCCTTCTGGAAATTTACCCAACACAATTATTACAAAGCTTTCAAGCCTCCAAATAACGTTATTAGACCGTTAATATTAAGCCGTAAAATACATAGGAAGCCCGTTAAAACGAGAATCCACGTCTGCGTCAGATCGTTTTCTTTCTACAGAATATATAAAGACTTAGTTTATAAAATTACTTAAATGTGACATGACAAAGTTTAGAAATGCTGTTACTTCTAGTAAAAGATTGAAATGGAAATGGACAGGACACATTACGAGAGAAGATAAAGATAAATGGACGAAAAAACCATTCATCGCTATGACAAAAGAAAACGAGGAAGACAGATAAAAAGATGGGAAGATGATGTGCGAAGAGTAGCTGGCCCTATGTGGCTACGTAAAGCTAGAAACAGAGAAGAGTGGAAGCCCTTAGAGGAGGCCTATGTCCAAGGACAAGCTGTAGAACAGATACCAACCAACCGGCTTGCCGATTAATTATTAGTATTTATATTTTTACTTTTAGTGTTAATTTTTTGTATTTCACATTTGTATGTACTAGTAGGTATAAGTAATTACAGAAATAAAGGCTTTTATTATTATTATTATTATTATAAATGTAGATAATACACCATATAGTTATTTTATTTAGTATCTTCACGCCATTTTCCCGAAGGTGGAAGCAGAGATCAGGGCTCTCCACTTGCTAAGTTCTTGACAT